GGGGGGGGGGGGGGGGGGGGGGGGGGGGGGGGGGGGGGGGGGGGGGGGGGGGGGGGTCATGGTTTGGACAGGCTGATAGGTCTGAGAATAAGATCTTGACGACACCGTTCCAAATTCCACCCCTGTTCGACATCGGCAACCCCTTTTTGTCAGGGGGGAGCAATCGAAACGAGCTTTGAAAATCGGTTTACATACGGGGGGTGCCGTCCTATCTACAGCGATATGTACAACAGGAAATTCAACTGAAAAAGCTTCGCGGGAACCTTCACTTCGATTGCTCTAGTGTACCTGGCCCACACAGGGGGTGTCATCATATCTTCAGCGATGTGAACGATAGGCAACTCAAGTGAAAATGCTTCGCGGGAACCTTTGTTTCGATTGCTCCACTGCTGTACCTGGAGCAAATGCGTGACGATATCTCGTTTCTTCTTGTCCGCCCTGTGCAGCACAGGCACCAGATCCCCCTGCGACATTTGCTGCGTGGCTGCGTAGACGTGCAGCCTGAGAAGCGGCGCCAGGCGGCCTTCCGCCCTGGAAAGCAGGGACCCCAGAGACTTGGTCATCGTGATCACCTGCAGCGTCGACGAAAAAGAGGTGGTTTGAGGCCCCATGTTGGATAAGGGAGTCTTCATGTTGACGCGGCGTATCAATTAATACAAGTGAGGAACGAAGATGGGGGAAAGATGGACTGGTACCGTATACACACCAGCAGCAAAGCCGTTGCGGGCAGTACAAGCGGTTGGTAGAGACGGGCCGCAATCTTGAGCGCCTGCCAACCTGAAGCTTCCCTATGGGTAGCGATGTCTCGCGCACAGGTCCAGAATGCAGCTACACAACAGAGCCTGCAAGGTGCTCAGCAGCACTTCTATGTCCTATGCGCAACTATCACTATCTCACTTGGACGTCTCCACAACCCATACCGCTAACGGAGTGCATGGTAGTGAAAAAAATGTACACGCTTGGTCAAACAACCCGACTTCGTCCCACCTGCCCAATCGCCGTTCCAAAAAATTACGATCCGTCATGGCGAGCCAAGGCGATACCACACTAGGAAAACAGGGCATCATGTGTCGACAACATGTGTCACCGTCTGCGCCAACACATTTCCTCCTTCTACACCAACTTGATCTTCGCCCAACCCACCCCTTTCATGCACGACGTGCACACAAAAAACCCAAAACCCTCCGGCACTTCATGCAGAAGTCTCGGCCGCTACTGCTCTCTGATCGGCTCACTCCACGACGCACCTCCACAATCGCGCTCAGCTCGTTCGGGGACCAGTTATACCGCACCACCCTCTCGTACTCCATCCCTTTCCCCATCGGGTCGCCCCCGGCCCTCTTGAACGCTGCCTGCGAGCACGGGTGGGTATGCTTCCAGGCCATGCACTCCAGGACCACGCACGACCAGCGCTGCAGCAGCCTCAGGCCCACCATCACCAGCCGTGATACCTTAGCCGCTATCCTCACGTTCGCAGGGGTCTTGACAAAGGGACCCTTTCGTGTCCAAGAACGACAACGACAACGACAACCACAGCAGTAGTCAAGGCGGATTAGGACGGTGACAAAAAGTCTGTGGTTTGTGGCTGGTGCAAAACTATCATGTATTGTCGGGTGCAAGCGGTGCGCGTGCGCGGCGGGCTCGAGGCTATTCCGTGGAACTATTTTCTTCCGTGGCACTGTACAGCAGTACCGTCCCATACCGGGACAACAACACCGGATGTCTCTGCAGTTGTCATATAAAACATATTCTCGCTGCCTCTACCCACCCCTTTCTTGGCCTCGAGACTACGAAGTATAACCCAAAGCATACAATGCCCTTATCTCGATGGTCTAAAAACTAAGGCACGAATAACAAGGGCACGCCCGCCCCCCCACCCCCCCCTATCTCACCGTCCCTATCTCGTTGAGGGAAATGGACAGCCTGGTGGTGTACTCGTCGAAATCCTTGGTCATCTTCCCCCACTTTGCCATGACGCTGTAGTCCTGCGCCGCCGCGGCATCGGCGAACCACGCCCCCGAAGAATCAGCGTCGAAGTGCGGACATCGCTCCAGCACGTACGAGAGCTTGATGGCGATGTCACCGCCTACGGTTTCATGTTGTTGTCGTTGTTGTCGTCATTGTTGAACATGCCCATCACCGGAACGTATCGGCCTAAATCTACGTACCTACTTACTTACCGGCAGGGTTGGTTCATCTTCATCTTTGGTCAAGATAGGAAACAAAAGACACTGACAAGGCAAAGGTGACATCCTGCAACGTGCCTGACTAACTCGAATGGGGTTGCGTGCTCGCGAACAGGCTTTTCACTGAAGTTGTGGGCGTCTAAACCGCCGCGGGGACTAACGAAACCCCCGACAAGCCACCACTCAGAGCTCCCTTGCGACGACATCGGGAAGGATACACATGTCAGGGGCGGTATTGCGGTCTTCGTTTGCTGTTGTACTGGAGGCCAGCCATTAAATCTTGACACCGGCGACGGCAGGATGTGACTGGAAAGGGTACGAGGTAGTGGCAAAAAGCACTAAAAAAGTGCTTGCTTACATTGTGGCACGACGGGGTATCGCTGGCAGATGCGTTGCAACGGCTGCAGCTTGATCTTCCTCTGCTTGAAGACGTTGTACGACCCATCGGGGCCGGCTGCTCCCACGTCACCATCAAGCAGCCTACAAACACAAACAACACGATCACGGACAATAAACAAAAAGAGTTGTAATATCAACAGGCCAGTACGAGACCCTTCACGGACGTATTACAGCACATAGGAGGTCCAGAAACCGGTTCATGAAAACAAGAAATTGAAAGAACCACACCGTGAAAACATCGAAGCAAGCGTCGTACACGCGCACAAAACAAACACAAAACACACAAAAAGTGCGAACACAAAAAGAGTAACTAATGGTAGTTTCTTTTGCCGCAGTCGCAAACCGACCTCTCTCGTACCGCCCGCGGAGATCACACCGAACCGGCTACATACACAACCATCCACGGCAGAGCAGTCGGTCACGAACAAAAACATGTATTCTTCGTGAAAAAAATGTCTGTGTTGATGAGGGTTTACTCTCACCAAAGCAAGTGCGGCACAACCCTGATGTTGCGGTACTTTTCGTCCGGCGTCATGTACCGGTTCGTCTCCAGCCGCTCCACTGCCAGGCTCAGCATTTTCATCAAAACCTTACGACGCGGACAGGTCATCAGCAGCACGAGGGTAGCAGTGGGGCAGCAGCAGGTAAGTAGGGTATCTCAACAGCGGGCAGTGGGGTAGATGGACACTCCGAGATGAAAATGCAGCAGTAGTGTTACACAATCAGGACTTGATTGGCTAAATGACAACTACACCCGGAAAGGACGAACACTCCACGCGAAACGTTCGGAGGGTGTTCCACAATGCCATACACAAAACCTGGCTACCATGAACGACGTCAATTTGTAGAACGATTCTCCGATGGACTGGAACAAAAAACACTGCTGCTACCCAGCTCCAGCTCCACTGCTGCGCAAGCCAGGGACTCATCATCTCCAGCATTTTAAGATGGGACTATACCAGGACACGCCGGATGATATAGCAGGCATCGTGGTGGATACATAATGTGTGCGCTATCGCATTGAATCGGTCACCTCGAGGTGTCCCGGGATGGCCTTGATGCTGTCTCTTAGCGTGTTGATAATGAGCTGCTTCGGATGCTTCGGGTTCCCCAAGAAGAGCTGCAGCGAGTGTTGCTCCTGCACGAACAAAAAAAAACACCAAGGACCGTGCGTCGTACTTCTATCCATCACCCCCGGGGGTCACCAAACGTACAACGATTAAACGGTTGACGCTTCTGGACGTACCAAATCCAGATATGGGTCCATGAAACGGGCAAGGCGTGTTCAAGAACATTGACCAAAACCAACAAGAACAACATGTTGTCATCAACTACGTGGTGTTTGTGATTGAAGCTACAGCAGTATCACCAACAAGAAATCGAGGCGGAAAGTTAAAGCTGCGCTAAACACAAGCGGTGAGACCTATGCTATAACACCAATCACACACACAGCCATAACAACGGGAAAATCAGGCAAACAGAGCTATTCTCGTCCTCTTGCCTGTCCTAGGCTTTCCGCGTCCGGGAGGTCCTGCCTGACGCTGGTCAAGGCACGTTTGTACCTCGAGAAGTCGTTGGTCAGACACGCCTTCGTGTCCTTCAAGTAGTCCTGGACATTCGTTCCATTTCGGAACAACACCAAGGGCGACAAACAAAAAAGAATGAAAGAGATCAGATACACGTGAGGACAGACTTGTAGATGTCGCTAGATACCAAGCAGCCGGGAGGCATCTAGGCGGTCGAGCATTACGGCCAGCACACGGACGTTCAAAATCAAATCAGCCTTGGTAATGCCACGGCTATCGCAAACAAGCGTGTGATGTCGTGTCATCACCAATTTCAGGAAGGTTCCACCATGGTCACATTCAAGGTACCCCATGTAAGTATAGGAATTGTTTGCGCTCGCACGGAAAGAACGGAGTTAAACACCAGCGGATAGGAGTCCTTGATCGAAAACGCCTCTTTTACGTTGAGAAAGCGGCTGCGTTACATCTTGGTGAACCCTGAACACCGGCAAGCATAAGCCGAATGATAAGGGCCACAAACCCGTATCGTTGAACCCCTAACGCTTGCACCAACCCAACCGTGGGCATCAGGGTACAACGTCCAACATGTTGGCCAGAGGGCACCCAAGCCCTACCTGACAGAACGGGAACTTGTTGTTGTCCAAACAAAATGCTCCACTAGTATAGACACTAGTAGCTAAGAAGTTGCGCGCTGCTGCATTGTCACGAAATCAAGAACTTGAACCCTGCCCACACCAACAACTACTATACTACAAGGACGCAAGATCAAGGCATCCTAAGCGCTGGGGACTCTACTGCTCTACATTTCCTCATTCTCACCATCTTCTGCATCAGATCCACCACCGCGATTAGCGCGTCGTAGAGGCCCTCCGGCACGACTTGCTTCTTGCCTCTCTTCGTCAGAGTTTGCACATGCGCGCAAAACACCTCCGGGGGGAGAGAGTCGCGAAAAAAAAAAGGCAAAAAGAAAAAGAGAGAGGGGACGACGGGCATCGCTTCTTGTCAAGTTGCGCCAACGTTTACCCTCACACCACTTAAAACGCTGCTTGAATGCCATGTTTCGTCGTGAGTGGTCGGGTTCAGTTGGGTTCTACACGCCAGACATGTACCGTAACTCGCTTGGCAGCGATCAGTCATGAAGTAGAGCCAACAAACTAGAAAACGTAGGGCGCCGTACATTGGTAATAGTTCAGTGCACATGGACGAGGCGACGAAACCCAGTACATGCCATGTGACCACGTTCAGGAATCCTTGTTGAACGCTGTACCATACCTGAACAGCACTCTCGTAAAATTCCATGATGGCGCTGAGCTTCTTCATCTCCGGCCGCAGCACCTGCAAGGGGCACCGTATATGTTTGTTTAGTGCGTGAAGGGGAGGCGCAAAGCGATCCGATCGGAATCCAACTTTAACAAGAGCACATTCGTACAACAAAGCAACAAATATTAGCACGTAGAAGTAGCACTCAAGAGCGGTAATGTTCGAGTGCGTTTGGGATGTCACAACATTCGAGTGCGTCATGATTCGGTCTCAACCTTTAAAACCAGGCACTCCCTCCCACAAACACTTCCATCTGAGCACCACTGCGACTTCTTCGCCAACCTTCGTCGAAGTGCTGCGATGATGAGAGACACAATCGAATGTGGCAACACGAGCTAGCAACCACGCTCTCATTCCCGCACACCTGGCGCTCTCTCCTGTTTTAGCGATAGGAACCGGCAAACCGGAACCGGCAAACCGGGTACCAGCAAGGTAAAGCGGGATGCCCTAAAAATAACGGTTACATCTCGTCCTCTGGCACTACAATGAACCGGAGATCTGGGTTCACCCCAACCGTGCGAGGCAGACGCGTGGTTGACCGACCTCGTTGGTGTACACAGCACTCCACCCACGCGACAATACGTGACGTCACCCCGTCCCACCTTGAAAGTGTTCATGTGCAGAGCGGTCTTGTTCGGGTCGCCGCTGCCGCTAACCATCGGGATGGCTCGCGACACGCTCCGGAACGTGTAGAGCACGTTGACGTGCATGCGCCCGAACTCCAGCACCTTCTCGAGCTCCCCGATGGCCTTAGACAAGGTACAACATAAAGGGTGGGCAAGGATTGTGCCGCCGAGGATTTTAGATAAACTACATCGCTCCCGATGGGCCAGTCGCATCAGTAGCCTTTCACCTTGTGTGTCAGGAAAGTTGGCTCCTGGAGTTTCCACTACAATAGCATCGGACGTTGAAGCTGACGCCTACAAAATAGCTGATTCATGTACTATTCACGAAACACATTGGTACATCCACGCATCACCCTGAAATCACTCGTGCATGGAACTTCGGCAGAAACAAAGCGACGACCTGCCTACGAAGGCGGCGTCACCACCAATGTATGGGATGGCCCCAAGCGTTTGTGATGTCCTACTTCCGAACAACATGCGTCGGGGGGGATTCGACATTAGAAGGAATTATGTGGCATATGATGAAGTAGTCGACCTCCGACCGAAGGGCGGTCTTTTTTTCATTTCGGCATTGTGGCCTCCAAATAAATATCTCGGATTCAGACGAGATTAAACCGATCACAGCCCTTCTTTGCTGCGCAGAATACTCTTGTGCGGACGAGACCTCGGAAGAGAATATTCCCCGCGTTGTACGACTTCATAAGTCGCGAGGGAAGGGATTGCTGTACCCTTCTCGCGATAAAAATATCTCAGGCAGGAACCGGAGCAGGGGGTCCAACCCCCCCCTCCTATGTGACCCCGGTTGGGTCGTCTAGCAGGTAGAAGCGGAGGATAGGGGCCAGAGGGGCAGACGACAGAGTCCAATGACGGGAGAAAAAAAAAAGAAACACACAAGACAACAACAGCAGCAGTTAGGCCTGTCCTCCATCGGCCGTTTTATTTTCGATTTAGATACACAAACTTTATTTCTATACTAATTTCAAGTAATTCCACCTTATTCTCCGTCATACACTTGAGCAAAACGGCCGATGGAGGACAGGCCTAGCAGCAGTCAACACAACCCTCAATACTGTCCAGTCTATAGTCACGCACGGACTGTTGTGTCCTGTGTGCCGGTCGCGACTCAATACACATCTCTGTTGACAGAAGAGTTGGTAGAATGTCATATCCCCATACCTCGACCTCCGAGCCAAGCGCCGTCTTGTAGCCGGCATGGTCCACGTACTGGAGCAAGTTCGACTGCGGAGCCACTTCGTAGTCGATGGACTGCGGCGTAGGTTGCACTCGAGGCACGTCATCCTCGAGCTTGAGGGACTGCGATTTGATGGTGTTTTGCGTGGTTGGCGACACGAGTCAGGTGGGGAACACAATCGTTCGAAAGGAGGGCACACTTATGCTTCCTACACACGTGACTCACGTGGTTGGGAACAATCCGCCAAAGGGCCCATGATGTGCACACGGGGGTAGAATAAAAATGTTCGCCCCGACAGCACGATCCTGGTGCTGCTGCTGTGTACAACAACAACAACAAACCATTGCGGAAAGGTGTGATTCCAAGAAAAGGATACACCGGTCTTTGTCCATCAATTGATGATCTCCCGCGCAAAATTAATTACACAACAGCAGCCAGAAAACGCGCGACTGTTGCGAGTACGAGTGCAAACGTGAGCAGGCAATGACGACACGGACGAAAGCCCATCACGGACAGTATGTTGCTTGCAGGTTGCGGAGGCGGGCTCTGTTTCTGGTTCCTCCCCCGCTGGCTTTTAGGGAGGATGTACGTTCAGTGCGTAGCAGACACCTTTGATGGCCTAATGATGAAACGGTCTCGTGCACAGTTACTCCGAGAGTGTATCTTCCCCATGCTTCCTTCACTATACCGGTAACATGGTTGCATTGCTATCGAGAGGTCCGGCAACGGACGCTGTTCGTATAAAAGGTATTGTCCCTTCTGCTCTCTTCATCGCGAACACTTTTTGGGTTTACCTCGAGGCTGAGAACATTGGGATGGAAGACACCACGACCATTCTCGGCCATGGCTCAGCCGCCTCTCTTCCCCACTTTTTCGCAGCCAAGCAGAGCCAGCCTCGTGCAGTTCCGGCCTCGCCTGCTTGCTGCTCTGCTGCTGTTTTCGCTAACGGCACCCTGCACCGCGCCCGACCCGCTTGTGGAGCGGTGGGGCACCCGCAACTGCTGCCGGGATACAAGAACAAACTATCATTCCACGGAGCCACCCCGCCTTCTCCAAAATATTCGGCATACAGAGCGAGAGCACCACTGCTGTACAGGCCGTTGTCAGATGGAGAACGGCAGGGATGAAGAGGTGGGGTGTTGGGTTAATATGTAGCTGTGGGGTTGTGGCGGCTAGTGGTGTCTGATCGAAAACGTTGAGACATGTTGAAAGTCTGGCCGCTTCTGAAGTGTAACTCAAGATTTTCTCTTGTCTAGTCTTGAGTACACTTCAAGCCTTCGAGAAATCGTCTCAGACATCGAGATAGCAGTCTGAAGGTATCCTGCGTCCTCCTCTCTGCCGCTCTCAGAGGACCTTCAAGCATCCCTTATGCAGATGCCTTCCTTAGATGCAGGCTAACTGCCCGAAAATGGCATATAATTGCGAAATACTCCGAGAACCAAAGAGAAGCAAAAGTATATTCGATCTCTGAACATGGCAAGTGTTGAAGGAAACTACGCCGTTCAAGTACAACACAAGCTGTGGGACGGTACAGCAGTAGTAGTACAGTAATACTCCTGCTGTAGTGTGCTGTAACTCCCCCCCCCTCTTCTGCATACGACAATCTATGGCGCGGAAGACCAATGACTTTGTTGTTGTTGCGACGCTCCTACCCGCAATATCCCGCCAAATTTGCGATCATGTCTCACTTGCTCGCGCTCACATCCCCAATAGGTGGCGAACTGTGTGGCCCCTCTCTCTCCTCCACGGCACTGCTGCTGTACACACTACAATACATTAGTCTAAGAGAAAAATAAACACAAGAGTGATGGCTTTCTGCAGAAATCACTCCAACCAGTACCTGTCTGCCATGTTGACGCAGCGGAGAGCCTTTTGATCCTCGGCAAGCTCAATGATAGCTGCACTCAGGAGCTCCGAATGATGGCGGTTTTGCGCATTGGTACATTTGCGGTACACTTGTAAGAAACAGGAACCTGCAGCAGTGCAGCGTTCATCCTCTTACGGCGTTCTTCGACCATGTCGCGTTTTTTCTGCACGGGTGCAAGTACCAAAGGCATGAATTAGGCCAGCACGGAAGAGGGACGAACTGTAATATTTATTTCTCCATGGGCGATTCCAGAAAGTTATCATATGCATATCATCAGCGGGGACTGACTACCCGTTTGAGAGTTTCGTACTTCTTTAGCACGGGGTGTTGAAGCCTTTGCTACTGTCGCTGACCGCAGTACATGCATGATTGTTGCGCACAGATGGCGTAGTGTCAAGAAAATCATTCACGAACCGAAGGTGGTGTCTGCTCTCTTCTGTTCGTGCTGTTCGTTCGATGACGCTTGAACCAGCAGGCACCACTGGAGGCCGGGGAGGACGGCACCTTTGACGTCGGAGACGCTTCGCCGCCCCCGTCGCCACCCAAACGCGTTGGAAGTGCTCGTAGTAAACAAAACGCGACTGCTACTGCTGTGTCTGCGGCCCCGGCAACCGATGGCGACCCTTGTGGCTCGCCACCAATAAAAGACGACTGGGAAAAAGTGGATCAAGACGGGGCCGACGCGGGACTGCCGCCTCCTGCAGGCAACGCTAGCCAGGGGAGAGAAGCAGGAGCGCCACCGTCGGCACCGGAATACGCACAGGAAGACTTTCAAGACGCGGTGGAAACGCAAGACGAAAGCGCTACCCAACAGACCGGAACCGGAGCCACAACCACGGAAGACGGCAGCAGTTGTTGTGTAGACGATTCGCCGGGCAAGGCTTGCGGGCAAGCAGCGCGGGTCGAAAGCTCGGCCGCCGCACCACCGCGTGCTGTTATGGAACAGCGGCCACCAGGGTTGGGCGAGAGGGTGAACGTGATCGCTTCGGGGCTAGCCAACGTGCGACTGCCGATGGGATACGGCAGACAAATGCGGCAGGCCGAGGAGGATGGTCTGGTAGAGAGCGATGGAGAAGAGCAGTTCCACGATGCCCAAGACAGCGGCCCTGGCGTGGTGAAGGACGCATCCAAGGCCCGAGAGATGAAGGAGGCGGGCAACGAGTGAGGCGTTTCCCTTTGTGGTACAGTAGAACTTGGGGATTGAGAGCGTTGCTGGGGGGTGTATATACAATACTTCGTAAAGCGTGTCCCTGAAGCAGTGAACGGGGCTTGGCCGCACGTGGGTCCCTGCATGCGTTCCGCTGCCTTGAGAAGCTGTTGAGCAATCGCTTCATTTTGCCCGCTGCCTGGTACAGAGCCGCCTTCTGTTTCAAAACCGAACCCGAGCAGAGCAGTAGTGAACCCGGCTACCGGACAGTCAACAGAGACCCGCCTCGCACAAAGAATCGAATCGCTCATACCCCCATCGCTTGCTCCCGCCGCGCGGCGGCGGTTGCTTGTCACGAACCTGCAATACGGCAATGCATGTATCAGACACTACAAGAACGGAGAGTTCGAAGACGCGGTCGACTACTACACCATGGCGCTCCACTACTGTCCGGAGGACGAGGCGCACAAGAAGGACAGAGCTGTGTTCCTCGCTAACCGCGCTCAGGGCCACCTCCGATTGGAAGAGGTGGGCTCGACTGCTGTGCGTCGTGAACGATGTTGTGTGTCTACACACTACTGCTCACAGCAGTAGGTGTGGTCCGTGAAGCCTCACCCTGAGACACTATTATTGTTGGTCAGCAGCGCTCTGCTCGGTTGGGTTGTTCGGACAGTTGATCCGGCAGCTTTTAATTGTGCCTGTTGCTTGTTTGTGGCGTTCTTTTGCCTCGATCTTACCAGCTCCTTCGTTTGTCTTGATCCCTGTTCCACACGCCTTTGCCTGTGTCAGTACGAAACGGTGGTGGATGACTGCACGGCTGCGCTAGAGCTCGACCCAAGCTACGTGAAGGCGCTCCTGCGACGAGCGCAAGCCAATGAGCACCTCGAGAAGTACGACATGGCACTGGAAGGTGCGAACGTCCGGTTCTCCACCAACAATATCTCGGTTGTTCTGGAACTCGCAACTCCGTAATCTGGTATAATAGTCTAAAACGTTGGTTGTATCAACAGCGAAGGCTCCAATACCTATTGTAGACACGAGTGTTCGAGCCTCTCAGTGTTAACCTGCAGCAGCTTGGCAGGCTGTTAAATTATTTCTTGTCGCGGGAACCTTTCGTTGGTATGATTTTCTCTTCGCAACAGACGCGAAGGAGTTGCTAAAGCTTGATCCGAGTCTCCGCTTGGCGAAGGAGAGCGTGCCGAGGCTGGAGAAGCTCCACAACGACAAGAACGAGAAAATGAAAGAAGAAGCAATCGGTGAGTCTTTGTCCGTCAATGCACCGATCGTATGTTGGCGAGGCACGGACGGCTTGGGCTTTGGCGTGCGGCTTCGTGGAAATTCCCGTGCGGGCCCTCGTGCCGTCACTGATGGGGGGCGCGTATCAAGGTGCAACGGGTCGTCTCTTGACTGGATTTTTTTTCGAAGTCTAGAGAATCTGAATCCAGGTCGAGCCATCGCCGGTTATCCCGGAAACATGCAACTGGTATAGGCCCTGAACTGGCTTTGAATCGGACATGCTCGTTCGTTCGTTCAAGTTGGTTTCGCTTAACCTACTTGGGCAAGATCGTTTGGTTGCTCTGTACACTGAAACGTACTGGGAATATCTCTCACGGCGTGTTGGAAGCTATTCCGATGGTGTGCGGTCTTCACTCAATTGTCTGCTGCTGCTATGTGTTTTGATGCACAGGCAAGCTGAAAGACCTCGGCAATGCCCTTCTTGGGAACTTCGGCTTGAGCACGGACAACTTCAAGATGAAACAAGACCCAAACACGGGCTCCTATAGCATCAATTTCGAGAGATGATTGCCAAGCAATCCCCTCAGCGACCTCACGTAATGCTTGTTTGGCGGTACGAGTCCCAGCTTCCAGCTTCTGTGTTCTCTCAGTCATAATGAACCTTTTTGACAGTCGCAGCATACCCTAGGTGTTTCGTAGCGTCAGTGGACACTTATGTAGGCGTGTGGCTCGTTGTGGGAATGGTTTTTTGAGTGGGCACGGGCCACATACAACGCCAATGAGACTTGTTCGAGGTTAAGCTTGAACGTCACGATTCTCTAGTGTAAATTACTGCGGTGCTTGCACAGTGCATGCTGGAAGCTGTTTTCGAGAGGGCGAGATCGAGAGGATGGATCAACGCACGAAGCTTGATGTTGTAGCCGTGCCTTCCTTCAATGTGGCAATAATTTGTAGTGGTGTGTTGTGGAGATGTACTTGGTTTGCGTACTCTGTCAAACGCACTTTCGTATCCCATCCCCCAATTTCCACGGACCTGCTGCTCGGCGAATGGGTCTGGGCATTATGAGACAACTAGCATGTGCGGGGGTTCTCCACTGAGAGAGGAAGCAAGTAATGAGGACGTTGACCGAGACGTTCGAAAATATAAAAAACTTGTGTTTTTTCCCCTCTGCCCTTCATGATGACACTGCTGTGAAGCAACCCTCGCAAAATAATGGCACAAAGTGAGCACAGCACTGACTGATAGCAGCGGTTTCCTGGAGCAAAGAGAATACGCATCAGAAATGACTTGCTGGTGAGAGCACAGAGCAAACAGCAAACAAAACCTGAACTTGAACCTCAGGGTGATCAGCAGAGGGCGCACGAGTTCCGGGGGGTGGCAAACTCACAGTCCCGTGGCTGGTCGCACCGCAGACTGGCAGAGCGGAGAGCGGAACGTCTAGGCCGAGACAGGCACACAAGCACTGCTAAAGTATGGCTGACGGGAACGACGATGCCATCTTGCTATGAGAGAGTGATGGGCATGACACTACAAGATGCCTTACTTCGGGATGTAGAGCTCATCGACAATCCACATGAGGTATGCTACAACTGACCACTGGGCATAAAATTGTCCGCACGTGTGTCCGCGCACTAACAGCTGTGGTGCAACACCGATGATGTACGTGACAAAGCTGTGGAATATTTTTCGATCAAATCCAGGGTTTACGTCCATTATCTCGAAATAATAATAGAAGGGCCTTGTTGCTTTGGTTGCAAGTCACCGAGTCATGGAGGACCTCGAGATATTTTCCCACCTCTCTCTGCTGTTGTTTGTGTGGGGAAGGCGGTCGTGTCGGGTACTGTTTGAAACCCTACCAAGCAACGTTCCACGCAGTACACACGCATGTCTGCACACAACAGCGAGATATCTTGCATTTTTGTATGTTGCCACGCGCACACGCGACTCTGGTACTTTTTTAGCAACAGCTTTTCAAGCCATCTCGCGAGACAACAGTCTCGACTTGGCGACAAACCTTCATTGCGTGGCACGACTGCTGTATGACAAGCAAGGCTTAGGACTCGATACACGCTTTGTACAATTTGTTACTCGCCCCTCCTATGTCTTGTCGCCACGAGTGGTGCAACTGCTGTAGCAAAAAAACGAGACCTCATGCATGTGCGCACAGGCGAAGACGTTCTGGCTGCCTGCCGACGCTTGTCCGGCAACCTCCTTGGAGAGGATCGCGAAGGCTATCTACGACTTTCACGTCGCCAATAAACAACACACCCACGGCCACCAAGATTCAGCCCTCACGGGTCCAGTTGGCTCCACGCCATCTGCAGTAGCACACAGCGGAAACATCCCATCCCGAGATAAGCCTGGCGTCGTCCGTCGTGACGCAAGCTCCCATACCGGCGGTGTTGAGTCCGGGGCGGAGTGGTGGGTTCAGCAAAGAGAAGAAGGCCGTCATGCAAGCGTGGGGATGCCATTCCATTGGGATAAAGACGAGGAGATGCTGGAGCAAGAGGGGCTGGTCGTGTGCCCGTCGGTGTCGACAGTGACGTACTTGACGGGGTACGGTGCGCCGACAGTTGTGCTTGAGGTACGAGATCGGGTACTCTTGACTTGAGGTACGAGTTCGAGTACTCTTGAGTATGGGTTTCTAAATATCTTTCTTTCTTTGTGGATCTGAGCATTATGGAGTGAAGCGGCAGCTTGAGCCTTGAGAGGCAAAACTGTTTTTTTTAACTCTCCTAGATTTACGAATAGTCTACCTCATCGATTGTCATGCTATGAAAAATATCGCCGATATCGCTCGCCGCGTTGTGGTCGCGCTGTGATTGGCTGTCCCCCACCTCCCCGTTGTTGGGGCGGTTTGACCCCATCTTGAGGGCGCTCTGTTCACGCCCGCTTGCTTTGCAACAAACTGCTGTAGCGGTGTCGCGAAGCAAGACTAAGCTACTGTTGCAGGTATGTCGTAGTCCGTATGGGTTGCAATAGCGCCAATACTAGCCCGATGTTGTGGCTATGTTCCCTCGACGCAATATCTTGTGACTACCTCTGCTCCAGCTACGTGTGCTTGGGATGGACGCAAACAGGAGTCCATGATTAACGCTCGATTCACTTGTCACGCTCCCAACAATTCCCCACAAGGCCCGTGCAACAGGCAGCGGGACTGTACAAGAGGGAGATATCAACCAAACATTTGTGAGCTACCCGGCGCTCTTCAAACACCTCGCTTTCGACGGTGGCTTTTTGCACGGGGTGCCAGAGCAGCTCATGCGAACTGGAGATCAACGCGTCAGCGGCAAAGTAGGGAGGGACGGTGGGCGACGAGAGGCTCGGGGCGGCAACGACAACCATGGCATCCGCTCCCGGACATCCCTTCCTTCTTCGAATGGCACGGTAAGCATTCTGCGGGAGCGGGATTCTCAACAAGGCGGCACGAGGACAGCCAACAACGTATGACTCGCAAAGTTTGTTGAAGTACGTCGCCCGTGCAACGTGTGGTGGAATCAGCAGCAGAAGGCTTTACGCATTCGCGGGGTATACAGCTTCACACGAGAGTTTTTGTCCGAATTCTCAATGACGCCCCAACTCCCTTTTCGACTGACAACCGTTTCGTTTTCATGTCATTAATACATACCTCTCCATTTCCTTTGTTCCTTGCGACGGTTCTATTACCCAGCGTCGTCGACAAGGGCGGATGCGTGTGACCTTCCTCGTGAACGTGTGGCTGTCTCACAAGCCAAAGGGAATTACATCGCTTCCAGCAGATGTTGCAGGGTCTCTCAGCAACATCAGCGTCCCGCTGTGCTTTGACAGGCCAGGTGATTTTGTCCCCGTGCCAGTTGAGAAGGAGCAGGAAACCCAACCTAGCCAGGAAGAGGATGGAGGGTCCATCCGGGGGACGAAACCGTCGAGCATGCTTTTGAACGTCCCGCTTGGGCCGACTCTTCTCCTTGAAGTTCGAGCCCCTACACCCGAGAGGCTGTCGACGGGTGGTTTCAAAGAGAACGACTCGTTCGCGTTGGTGTATGCAGAAGGCAGCCATTCTCGCATCTCGACCGTGCAGGCGGGGGAAGTGGGCGGGGCTGCGCATACCACGGGCTAACGGAGAGCATGTGACCACTACCGACCTGAGCCTTGCGATGTTGAAAGCGAAAAGTCTGCAGAACGGGTTGGAAGGAAACATGGAGACAGGGTCGAAAGATCACCACGAAAAAGAAAACACGAAATGCAAGGCTACTATGTTTAGGGTTGCGAGTGGTACTTGCCGGTGGTTGTGTGCACACACGCTCTGAACAGTGGGGTGACCGGCAGTGATCATGCACAAGGACAACGATGCCGGAGTGTTCTCTGCTTCGACCAGACTCATGCCCCTCTTGGAAGTTCACTCATGGTTTGGGACACATCATTGGCGACAGCTGCCATAGCGCACAAATAAGTGCGCAACCAGTTCGTTGGGAGTGCTAGGTCTCGGAATAGGAGGGAATAAGCCTCGCAAGATTTTGTGTGATAAAAAGCGCGTCAACAATTCTGAATTTGGCGATCAACCTGTAGTTCATTGAGCCGCCTGCCCCCTCAGATGTAAACAAAGGGCAGCTAACCGGGATGCAACCACAACCCCCCACCCTCCCTTGATACAAGTAACTCCAGTCCTCAACCGATTGAAGCGCCTCGGCAGACACACTGCAGCACTCCAACCAACAATTGAGTCTAGCGCCATTACAACTACACACGGGTTGAGTCCACTCGAATTTCACGCTTTGCAAGGAGTACGCTGTTCTTCTCTTCTTCCTCTCCAACTTCTGTGTTGCCACTTCCAGCTTAACTTCGATGCCTCTCTTGCTCTCTCTTGCTCCCTTGATCGAAAAGGTACTACGCGAGGTCTTCGAAAACACAAGAAGTCCATGTCAAGCGATTCCCGACTCCCAACCCACCCACCCTACCCACAGTAAAACCCCCAGCTATAAAGTTGATACAAACAAGAGTCCTTGAACATGTTAAGGCATCTTAACGAGGGTTGTCACGCAACACAACACCAGAAGATAATGAACTTATTTCTTACTTATCCCGGATCCCTATATTTAGATAATGAATATGATGATGAGTTTTTTGCAAGAAAAAAAAACGTACAAATTTAATGGTCGAAAAAATGTTTGTCTACGGACCGTTGTCAACAAAAAAATTACAAACATTTCATCTCCCGGGAACACGTTCTCACTATTTAGTGTAGGGAGTACCGTTGAGGAGGTAATCACACACTGACTAGTGTATAGAACTGTTTCAAATGTCCCCACGAATTCGGGTAGAACTATCGGACATGGACGGAAATGACAGCATTTTTGTTTTTTGTTTTGTCTCCCATCATTCGACTCTGTCGTCTGCCCCTCTGGCCCCTATCCTCCACTTCTACCAGCTAGACGACCCAACCGGGGTCACATAGGAGGGAGGCGGTTGGACCCCCTCCTGCGGATGAAGGGCAATGACTCGATATACAATAGGCTAGTCATCAACCGTCGGCAACAACAGCCACAAAACACTCCTTCCTACGTTTGGGCTCTCCTTTCCTCTCGACTCAAATAGCAACCCTCGGGCGCAATACCTGACGGCGAAACAGCGATACTATAGTCCTCAAGTACACTCGTGAGCCCGACAAGGGCTTGCAGATTCTACCAAACGCTCCAAACAGCGCCCTGGCCCCTGAGCGCGCGGATCGATCCCATCTATTCAGTAAAACGATCACATCCTGCTGTCGCTCTTTCACTCTCAGCGGGTGATACAGGTACAACACTTTTGTTCGAGCCTAGGTTCTCCCCGACAACGAACCGAAAACGGCACGTACATCACACAAATAACCCATTGATTCGAGTTCCCGACGGAACTTCATAGCTTAGAACGCAGCCAAGACTGCGTGGTCAACAAAGTAAAACACAACAACGAAGGCAGAGTGCCCTAAGGCATTTTCTTCGACCATTTTTCAACGCCCCTGGTAAGGCATATCCTATCACTGAAACCATCTCCCGCCACATTTAGTCTATAGACATACGTTTTCCTCTCATCATTCGTCTATTTACTCGAAATGGCTAAACACAGGTGTTCACCCTCGGCAGGCTTTCTCGCGAAGACCCTTCGATGGTTCATACTTCTCCCGCAAAAACAAAATAGCCATAGTCACCTTCAATGTTCTTTCGCCATGCGCCATTTCGTTAGTTTAGTTACCACTTCGCACCATGAAAAACATTCTCTTTGGATGGAGCAGTTCCCCTGCCTTTAGCGGCCCCTCTCCCCCTCCCCCTTATCCTCCTCTCTCCTCTCGTATTGGAAGAAAAAAAGAAACCCGGGGCAACCGCCAGAATTCCACCACCAGACCAACCGGTGTATGTATGTCACGCACCCCGCAGGGCACCACACCGGGCTTTCGACCTTCGAGTAACGCGCCTGGTCAGGGCTCAGGGCTCCTCCTTGTTGTGGGCTGTTGGCTTAACGCTTGAAGAACCGCCGCCTGGACTGCGGCCTTCATGCTGTATCTCTTGGGACCAGGGTGAAAAGAAGTACAACCGCGGAGGGGCGGCCAAACCCCTGCTATACCTATTGCCGTCGGGGCCTCCGTTTCTGCCCTATCTCGCTCTGGAGGGGGGGGGGGTTCTCTCGACGATGCCTGCGCCGCCCTGTCCTGCCAAAGTTTCTTGAGGCGCAACGTTCACCGGCATCGAGACCGATATAGGAAGCGCCAGGCTTCGCGCCAGGTCTACAGTAGTAGCGGTAGGAGTAGAAGCCAGGGTCTTTTCGAGGCGTTTTCTGCCAAAATCAGATCCGCTTGGCCTCTGCCGCATAAGCTCGTGGCGTCTTGCGCGGGCCCTGTCACGCTGCTGTAGCGTCTTTCTGGCACGAAGGTTGCCGGTAACTGCAATACCGCCCTGTGACGAGGTCCGAGCACGCCTCATGACAGCATCCCGCTGACGCCTCACGCCCGCAGCCGCCACAGCGCGTCTCGCCGTCGAGCTCCCCGACTTCTTTCTCCTGCCGGCAGCTGCGGCGCGGCTCCTCCTGCTGCGGCTTTGCACAAGAGAAGAAACCTTGCGGCTAGGCCTGGCGGGCCGTGCAGGGGCTAACGCTAGTTGACCCTGTCGCAAGTTGTGGCGCGGGGTTGCAAAGGCTGCCATCGATGTCTTCTTGACAACAGCTTTGGCCGGCGTCTCGCAGATGACGGGTGATGAAGGATTGGGTGGAGGTGTAGATGCCGGCTCCACCGCAGTTCCCTTCTCCATTTCATCGGCGACGAGAGCGACATCGTTGAGGTCTTTCGATGCGAGGGGCCTCTCTACCACGGAGTTTGGTTGCCTTGCTTGATCAGCTTCATCATTACCATGGTCATTCCCGTAGCAGGGGCGGAAGCAGCAGCACCAGAGTGCACGGCAGCAAGAGGCCACAGCCCTCCGGTACAGGAAATCCTTGAGCGACGATACAAGTCAATCAGGAGCCCACAGCGGCGACGGGGTTAATTTGCTGTCTTCGTCTGCTTTTGGGCATCAAGTTCAGCAGCGAGGAAATGCCGGTAGTGTGCTTGCTCACAAAGGAAGAAGGGTCGGCTACACTATGATAAGCAGTCTGAACATGTCAAGACCGACCACTGCTAGGTGATGCGTAATGGAAAGTCAAAAGTTGTCCCACCTGCAACCACGCCTCCTTGAGTTTATCGTTGAGGCCGTAGCAGATGAAGTTCAGCAAACCCTGCCCAAACCGGGACGTGACAAAGCGATGGCGGAGAGGAGGGTTACGAAAGCCGGTGAGAAGGAAGGGGAGTTGACAACTACATTGTCCCTTTCGTGTGCGATTGCAGGTTCGCGTCGGACAACAGTGTACCACGGCCGTTCTCAAGGATAGAGGGGAACACGTTGTGGCCTTTCTTCGGAGATAACTTTCGGTCCGGCATATGATAGAAGCTCGTCTTGAGATTCATTGGTTGCGCCTTCACCTATCGCCCTCAAAAGCTCTTCTTGTTTTTTCAACGCCTATTGGCCTTTCGGCACATACTCACGTCGTGAGCAAAACTACGCTTGTGGCTAAGTGGATCTGGTAGACAGGCATATATGTTGGAAATGTATTCACTCGATGTTATGGCTTTGACGGGGTTCAAAGGGTTGTGAGCTCTACCTCAGCGGCGCGATTGTTCGTAGAATCATTTGGATCTTTTCGTATTTTATGCACTCCGGTGCGATAACTCCGACCCCTGTGCGGAAATCGAACTCAACCATTTCGTTTTGGTTCATATGTTCGACAGCTCTAGACTGCGCCATACTGATGACTCCCATCACAGATTGAAACTGCTGCTGCATATCTTCCCGCGGAAAGCACACACCCCACCAAAACGTGGACCTCCAATAAAGTATTAGTCAAGAGGTTCTGGGGTACCTGAAGTCTCGATGTGAGTGTAGCCAGGAGAAGCAAGAAGAAGCTGGCGTTGGCCTGCCCCACCGCTAGTGTGTAGATCCCGTTGATCAGCGTGAACATCCAGCAAAGCACGAAGATCACTGGGTACCTGCGGGGAAACACCGTTCAGACTTGGTGACGCCGCTTCATGTGCGTACAACGTTTTGACTAAACACACATGATGCCGACGTCAATGTCGTTTCGCGTTCTCCGCTAGGCGAACGGAAACGAATTCTCGGGAGATACGCAGCCGAGCACAGAAGTTTGTAGTTACACCGATAGCTGCTGCTTCGATAGGCTAGTCAGACGAACGTTTGTGGTTGCAGCTTTTCTGTATTTTCCGTAGCACGGTTCGGTCCGAAGCACCAAGAGTTCGATGCTGTTTGCTGTACCATGCTCACCACTTGATACGCGAGATGAACCTGTCCATGTCCATCTCCGGAGTGTGAGTCGTCAGCACGTGCTGCGACCTACCACCGTGCGCACCCAATGGTACTGCTGTTGAAAATGTTGCGCTCGCCCTCTCCTCCTTTTCGGTTTCGGTAAGTCTGCTACGGGTGCGGGCCGTCCCACACGCAATATCTCCAAAGTCCGTGTCCATGCTCGACATCCTGCTGACGAAACCCCTTACGGTGACGACCCCATTAGCGAAGCGTGACTTCATGGGCACTTGCGGAACCGCCATCATGGCTTTGGCTAGGCTGCCAGTGTTGACTCTGTGGCTTTCTGCCGCTTCCGTGCTCTCGCTGCTAGCATTCCCTGAGGATGGACACTTCTTTCCGGCGATGGCTCTCGGTCTCGCGAGCACCTGCTCCCAATTTATCATGGCCGTACGCGTAGAGTTGTTACTGTCGTGGATGGCACCACCAGCGTCCCGCATTACCTCAGAGACGACGCCCGGCAGCCCGGCATCGCTCCCTCGTTCGGTCTCCCTTAACACCGGCAGACGTTCCGGGGATGTGGGTATGGGTCCGCCAGCCACGGCTCCAAGCGAGAGTCTCCGATTGGCTGGCGCCGCCATGCCATTTAGCCACACGACGCTCTTGCATTCCTCTCCCTCTGACGACGACTCGTAGAGGGGTTCGTCATCGCCGTAGAACCCCACATCGCGGGAGGTACTCCACAGCCAGTTTTTGACGCTGACGTTGCTGTTGCTGCGCGTGAAGGGCCACGAAGAACCAGAGGAGTTACTGCTGTGCTCGGCATGGTCGCGCTGTTGCGAAGGAAGCGTGGATAATCCGTTGGCGCGGCGCTCGCCTTCGGCACTTTCTTCAGTACTTCTCAGGAACATCCGCTTCCACAAGCTGTTACTGCGCTCCAGTCGCTTGTTCGGTGACGTCGGCGGCCTCGGCCGCGCCGAGCTGCTGTTTTCGGGCTCCGTCGGGGACTCCTTCCCAACTGTGCTTTTGCTCACGTCTTTCTTGGGATGGTCTGGAGACACGTGCAAACTTGCGCCTGGAATAGCACTAGAAGGTATCGACATGGCGCTGATCGGTGCTAACGAGGCCCCGCCATGGGGTTTCGGGCGTTGCCGCTGTTCTCGGTGTTGTTTCACGGAGGAAGCTTCCGTGTGGCGGTTGGTGGTGGCTTCTAGAGACAGTCGGGACACGTTTCTCTGCGCACGGCCGAGCGTTTTGAGCACCTCAACGTAGGCCCAGACGATCACAACCATAGACAAGAGAACCACCACCAAGAATATGGCTCTCCAGAGAGACCCAATGTTCCATGAATCGCCGCCTGCGAGTGTGTTTGTTGCAGTCGGGGATGGGTAAGAAAGCTGCGCACGGTGACCCAAGAGGTTGGATCATAACGCCCAAAGTGATTGCTTGGCCTGATGTAAGATTCGAGTGGCCAACCGCCACTGGTTCTCGGTTGCTTCAGTGATAGGGGCATGCTACTCTCATATCCGTGACAAATACTGCAGCAGCGGTACCTCTTTTGGTATCACGACCTGTTCCACGACTCACTATCGACACCACAGAACAAGCTCTCCGTTCTTCCGAAGGATCCTGTTGCCAGCGGTGCAATGGACAGCAGCGCTGAGACGCCCCACGCCCAGAGATGGTTCCACGGCATGCTGTAGCAAGAGAATATTGACCATGGGAAGACCACCGCCGTCAGCACTGCGCGGCAACGCTGCTGTTCGGTAAGTTGTGGTTCTTGTTCGGGTGTCATGAGGGCTTCGATGGCACGGGTGGCAGGACTGAACGCTGGATGCGAGCGAATGTCACACGAAACACATCGCCCATCCTCGGGATGTTTTCCCAAGCATGTCCTTAAGGGGTCCAACTCGAACTGAAAACATATTTAAGTACAGAGACTGGGCGGTGAACGAGTAGACAATGGCCGACTACTAATAGCACTGCGGGTACAAAGCAACTGTTCACTTCAAAGAGCGGGGGCTCTAAGACAATCCACGTACCGTTTATTGCTACTTCCACATACCGTTTGTTGCTGTCGAATGTGCGTGTCTTCGAGGACACCTCCAGCAAAGACTGGGCAATCAAAAGGGTCCATTGGATAAGGGCAACCTATCAAGCAGATTACGAAGGGCGCGAGAACAATGAACGGGCGTGGGGTTAGGTTAACTCCCATGACCTAGCGAATTAGCGACCAATCTCCGTCCGAGACGCTTGGCATATGACATGGGCCACGTGTAGTTTTGAAAACAACACCTTCAGCACCCCCCTCAGCACACACCGTGAGAATGTTCAGATGCTGATAGTGAGCCGCGGAGCGCGAACCGCGACGTGTTTCCCTTCATCCCCAGGAGGCAAAAAGAAAAAGAGGCTCTAATTATGGGATCTTGCAACTAACGCGATGGACGGGGCCTTCTGCAATTCGCCTAATTAAAAGGCCACGTCAAAAAATAAATACCTTCATTCGACCAGAACCAGGTCTACAGAGCCCCGACTTACGATCTGCTGCCTTGTGAGAAGGAAGCAATTTATTTGGGGCACTCTTCGTCACACCGGTTTCGTCGCGCTCCAACAACAGATGGCCGTGCTTGACAGGCATTTGTCCCCCAATATAATCGGATGTTTGAAGTCCATTCGCCGGAGAGTTGTAGAGGTAACGGAGGACCAACAAATCGGAAATCTGTCTCCCACACACATACACGTTGCTCGGCAACCAGGAGAGACAGAGGAAACACTCAGCTGAACACGCAACCCCGCTAGGAGGGGCAAGACAGCACTGGCGAGGGAAGGGAGCCGTACACACAGTTCGTGGCGGGTGTCATTGTCATCGCTGTTGCTTCGGTGTGTGGGGAGGGATCATCGGTAAACCTGCGCCTGGGACAACAAAAATCCAAACTGATCCCAGCGGACGCGGCGGGCTTTTTCAGGCTGCGCCAGACTCTCCCGCCCGCAATTTCTGAGCGTCCTACAACCTCCTGGTCACCACACAAGTCGTAGCATGGAAGCAGCTCGTGGCGGATACTCTTGTCACTGCTGTTGCTTCGGTGTGCGTTAAGGGATCACCTGGAAACAAACCCGTGCCATGGGAAGCAAATTCCCACGAAGAGCCCCTTTTTTAGGTCTCAGGCGCCAGGGTATTGTTTTCTCGCGTGCATGCATTGCTGCCGAGCAAGTTAGATGGGAATCACTGCCATTACATCAGCAGCAGCAGCAGCAGCAGCACACTACAAGTGCATTTGTGTAAGCTGCCACTGTCCATTTGTGTCTGTCTCAGTACTGTTAGGTGCCGATGGTTTGGCGGTACTGCTGAGCAGAGGCGAGGGTGTGTGTGTGTGTTCCTCCGCCATTGATGTGTAACATTCAACACCATTCCAGCGGGAGCGGGTGCACCCGTCAGCATCGGAGATAGACTCCTGTCAGGTATTGAGTCGTAACCCGCGGCTCATTACTCATTACCCCTCCCTACCTAGTATTGACACCAGCTGCCGGGCGCCCTCAACCAACTCGAAATCGAATTCAGTACCGAACTCGTTTCTGAGAACGGCACAAAGGCCTCAGGTCGTACAATGATGCTGCCCAGAAACAACAACAAACTAGAGGCTTTTACCTTCGTGCATAATACCTTGGGCCCGACGGTGGAAAATTTGATGCCTGCTCGTCATAAAAAAAGAAGGAGGCCTACACATTCGCAGCAAAGCAGACTGGTGACCACAGAACGCTGCCGCTGGGAATGTGGCAGGCAGAGATAAGATACGAGTGTTGAGAGTTGCCCTTTGTCGGCGAAGATTTGGGACCACGACTAGGCTAACAGTGTCTTGGGGGAGAGGGGGGGTGTACTCATCGTCATGAATGCCGTAGTCGTTAGACCATAAATCTCGCATCCCTACCAAGCCGGGACGGAGCACGCCGGGTTTTCACCGGACCAGGCTAGCACATCACCAAGAGCGAAGCGTCGTGAGGTATTCAGCAAGTCGCACGGAGGGTGCGCTGCATCCTGCTAAGGGTGTTCGGCATCTTGTGCTTCCTTCTTTGCATACGATTGACAGCTGCGAATGGCTCAAACCATTTCTGGTGATTGCTCTTTCTTGCGGACAGTCAAACACTCTGTAACTGCCTCGAGGGTGCTAGCCCTATGTAACACAAACGTGGTGAGATCATTCCTTTTTCGCGGAGTGAGGATTCTCGACCCCGCACAACATAGTGTCGACCATCATGAAAAAACCTAAGGCAAAAAAAGCGACAACCTGTTTCTCGAGATCACGAAGCGATCGGCGTGGTTTACAGCGAACGTCGTTGCCAAGCGACGAAAACCCACGCGGGGACAAAAGTCGTGTAGTTGTGGCGCAATTTTCAACGTCAACAGATAGTGCCCTCACGTAAAAACTTAGCAGTGAAGAAATCGAGACTAGCAAAAAATCAGAAGCTAAGAACTTGAGCACCATTTGTGAGCTCGGGTACGAACCCTACACTAAAACCTATATAGCGGCCATTGATAGCCCACAAGAGGATGATCAACAAACTAAGAACCCAGCCTCGGCCGAAACTAGAGGTTCTTAAGTGCGAGCGCCATCTGTATGTTGTTGTTGTTGTTGTTGTTGTCTTCACATTAAAAACCATCCCGGTCTCTCTATCCAGTACCTCCTTCTGTCTCAATCTCTCCGTACTAATCCATCACTTGACTCGGCCAATTTCCGTGGTCACAGGCTAACGTACCTAGAAAAGGTATACCAAAATAAAATGGACCCCAAGGGTCAGCAGAGCGAT